CGCAGGCCTCTCACTGCCGTGGCCTCTCCCGTTGTGGAGCACAGGCTCTGGACGCGCAGGCTCAGAGGCCACGGCTCACAGGCCCAGCCGTTCCGCGGCATGTGGGATCTTCCCGGACTGGGGCACGAACCCGTGTCCCCTGCATCGGCAGGCGGACTCTCAACCACTGCGCCACCAACTTTAACACAAACATGAAAATTCTGGAAACCTTCCGCCTAAACTCTGAAGACAGTGGTTCCACGGCTGCCAGGCATAGGCACAGGAGCCCCGTCCCCAGGGAGGCACGGCAGAAGGAGGCTCATTAAGGCCAGTTCACACCCTGCGCACAGGCTGGCTTTAGTGTAATCATTCAACACCTCAAATACCGCTCGCCAGCTCGGCGCTGTTCTAACTGTACAGGTCGGGGTACAACACCTGCCTGTGGGACGAGGTCAGAAAACAAACCCAACACGACATTCAGAGGGACTCGCCACGTCATCGCCAACACCAGCTCCTTTGGGGATGAACCTTGTCCTACTCAGCCCTGCGTGACAGAGCAGGGGCGGGGCTCCGTCCCTGCAGCCGCGAGGGGTGTCGCGTCCCCTGCAGACGACAGCAGCAAGAAGCGGCCAGGCAAACCCTGCCCCAGAGCTGGTCCTCCGCCCGGATGTGCAAGAGGAAAATGAGTCCCACCTTCCCCAGAGACACCGTCAATTCTCCTCGCAAGTCTCGGGACTTCACGGACTTACATCCTGCTGCTGAGCCAGACGGCAAGTAACGTGTCCAAATTACAAAGGCGGAGCTGTTTCAGCTACTTAGTTGTAAATCTACAAACTGTCAATAGAAATAAACCCACTCCCCATCTCTCTACCAGCATGTCCTAAACCAGGCAGGGACCTCAGCAGACTTTCTGCCCTGTTCGATCCGACACGCACACAGGCGAGAAGAGACCACCGTCAGGGCACAGAGGCTGAACCTCCGATGGAAAGAGGCCCTGAACCTGCGAGGCCAGCTTTCCTCCACCTTCAGGAAGGCCCGGGGGGCGCAGGAGACACTTCACTAAGAGCTGCGGGGCAGGTAGGGGCCGTTGCTCCTGTTCTGCCCGAGCCTCTCCTCAGGGGCGGGGGAGGAGCTGAGTCAGGAGAGGGAGCGGGGGTGACCTGGGGAAGGTGAACCTCCTAAACATCCTGCACCCCTTCGCTCCACACCGGCCGCCTCAACTCTGAAACCCACACTCCCTGCTGTGATGCCTTCTGCTGCCACTTCCAGGCCCCACTGGAGCAGGGACAGGGCTTTAGAGCCTGCGTGTGCCCCTAAGGCGACACGGCTCAGCCCCCAACACGTGTCACCTATGGAAGGTGACTTTGCAGGTACACCTAAGGTCCCGGCTACACCTTAGGCCCCGGGGTACACCTGAGGCCCCGGGTACACCTATGGCTCCGGGTACATCTAAGGCCCCAGGTACATCTAAGGTCATGGGTACACCTTAGACTGCAGGCACGCCCTAGGCCCCGGGTACACCTAAGTCTCCGGGTACACCTGAGGTCGCAGGTACACCTGAGGTTGGCAGCTGCACCCCCAGGGCTCTGTGGACATGAAAGGGAAAGTTCCCCACCTCGGGCTGAGTGCAGAGGAGCACCCGCAGGTTATAATGCAGAAGAAGGGGGAGGCAACCCAAAGCGCCGCCCGCCCCTCCCTGGGTCCCACGGCTACCATCGGTGAAGCATCCAGCTTACCAGGAGCTGGAAGGGCACCGCTGCTTGTCTGCTCAGAGGGAGCGCAGCCAGCAGGCCCCACGGGGCTTCCGTGGGTGCAGAAGGGCACTCCACGAAGGGCTCAACCGAGGGGCAGCAGGAAGGGTTTCCTTGGCTGCAGACTAAGCAGTGTGTGTGTGAACAAGGGGCCGCAGGCACGACGTCCTGGGAAACTGCTAGAGACCAGCGGCCCGATCCTGGGGGTGGCGGGCGGGAGGCAGCTCCCCTGCATCAGAACCCCAGGAGGCCACAAGAAACTGTGCCGGACACCCTCCCGGGGGTGGCAGGAAGGTGGGTGAGACGAGGCCCCACAGATTTCCACGTTCCTGGGGAATCACAAGACGTTCCACCAAAACGCAGGTGAACTAGAGGTCAAGGCTTTGCCTGCATGGCCCCTGAGGATGCGTGAAAGGTCCCCAGGGTTGCCCTAGAAAATACTTGCAAATCATGTCTAATGAGGGATCGGTATCTGGGATAGATAGAGGCCATCGCAACCAATAATGAAAAGACAAATAAGGAGATTTGACTAGACTTCCTCCAAAGATTTACAATGGCCAACATCACACGGAAAGATGCTCAAAATCAACGGCCCTCAAGGAAATGCAAATCAAACCCTGCACAGGTGGAAGGGGCCAGACACAAAGGAGCAAACGTTGGATGATCTGTTTGTGTGGAACGTCCAGAACAGCCAAATCCATGGAGACGGAAAGCATGGCGGTGGCTGCCAGGCGCTGGGGAGCCGCTGCTTGGGTACTGGGTTTCTTCGGGGTGACGAAAATGTTTTAAAATTAGATTATGGTGGGGACTTCCCTGGCGGTCCAGTGGTTAAGACTCCACACTCCCAATATGGGGGGCACGGGTTCAGTCCCTGGTCGGGGAACTAAGATCCTGCCTGCCACACGGTGTGACCATCAATCAATCAATCAATTAATAAAATTAGATTATGGCGATGTTCCATAACTTGGTTCAGTACTAAATTCCACCGAACTGTACTCCTTGAACAGGTGGGTTTTAGGATCTATGAATTTTACCTCAGTAAAGCTGTCGGTTAGGTCTCGCCACGAATTCCTGGGTCCCGAGCATTGCCCGTCACTTGCTTCTGCGTCCGTGCTGAGACCCCACCCTGCGTCAGTGCAGCGAACCTCACGCGTCTGAAGCAGAGACGGGCCCCTCCTTCCCAGCCAAATCCACCCCCTCCTCTTACCACAGTGAAGCTTGGGTTTTACCAGAATGAGGGATCCTCTCCATTTTAGGGAAAACGAATAGCATCTTTAAGGTTTGGTTTTTAATAGATAGCATTTCCTGATGGATAAAATTGAGCTGGATGCGTTTCCAAAGGAGAACACCCAACAGCCGAGAAACTGGAAAAGAAGGGATTACATCTGGGGTAAAATGGGATGAACACAGCAAGCAGTGCGCCCTCGCTCTCTGGGCCTGAGCCAGGGAAACACCCCACTTCTAGGGGCCTCCCGGGGCCATCAGGTACGTCAGATGCAGTGGCCACGCCTTCAACAACTTTGCCATCGGCCTTGTTAGGATGTGGGGCACAGCAGCCTGAGCATTAAAGTCAGAAAGCACACAAGGACAAAAGAGAGTCTAAAATACGCCGGAAATCAATTTCACCCAGTGTTAGTCACCTAATGGAAGTTTTGAATTTCAGCTGAAACAAACAGAACCTATTAGCTGAGTTACATGTCAGACTGGAACGTAAACATGTAATCTAGCCTCGAATTACCAGATCAATTTTTGTAGAGGTGGTTCCACCTAACGACCATCTCTTTCTTTCTTTCTTTCTTTTTTTAATAAATGTATTTATTTATTTTTGGCTCCGTCGGGTCTTCGTTGCTGCGCGCGGGCTTTCTCTAGCTGTGGTGAGCGGGGGCTACTCTTTGTTGCGGTGCGCGGGCTTCTCACTGCGGTGGCTTCTCTTACTGCGGAGTACGGGTTCTGGGCACACGGGCTTCAGTAGTTGTGGCACGTGGGTTCAGTAGTTGTGGCTCGTGGGCTCTAGAGTGCAGGCTCAGTAGTTGTGGTGCACAGGCTTAGTTGCTCTGTGGCATGTGGGATCTTCCCGGACCAGAGCTCGAACCGTGTCCCCTGCATTGGCAGTCGGATTCTCAACCACTGTGCCTCCAGGGAAGTCCCCTAACAACCATTTTTCAAATTTACAGGGATCCAATGACAAAGCAATTCCTTGTTCTGGTGTCTGTTTATTGCTTTAAAAGGTAACATTTCTCATTTGACGGGTAAGAAGATGATACAGCACTGAGGTGTTTCTAAACTTGAGGCGTTTTTCTGGCTCAGTTTCCCCAGCACTTCAGCTTCCTCGTGATGAGGAGTGTGTGACGTGGCCCCTTCTGTCACCCCTGCCCACACCCACGGGTGTCTGTATGCACCCAGGGAG